ATCTCTCAATGTTCGGCTGCGTGGATTGGAATCGTGTCAGGGAAATGAATCAGGTAAGACAAGAAATGAAAGAGGAAAATGATTGATAGATAGATAGATAGATATAGATAGGTAGATAGATAGATAGATAGATAGATAGACAGACAGACAGACAGACAGACAGACAGACAGACAGACAGACAGATATAAATGATATATATAGAGATAGATAGATGATAGATAGATAGATAGATAGATAGATAGATAGATAGATAGATAGATAGATAGATAGATAGATAGATAGATAGAGACAGAAAGATAGACAGATAGATAGATAGATATAGATATAAATAGAGATAGACAGACAGACAGACATACAGACAGATAGATATATACACTTATATAGATATAAATACACATTACTCCTTGTCCTACTCTTAGGTACTTTGGAGAATAAGTTGACCCTCCTCTTCTTTGCGGCAGCCCCTCAAATACTGGAAAACTGCTATCATGTCGCCCCTTCTTTTCTCTAGATTAGCCAAACCCAAGTCCCGCAGCCGTTCTTCGTATGTTTTAGCCTCCAGGCCTTTGATCATCTTGGTTGCTCTTCTCTGCACTTTTCCCAAAGTCTCAACATCTGTTTTGTAACGTGGTGACCAAAACTGGATGCAGAATTCCAGGTGTGGCCTTACTAAGGCTTTATAAAGCGGTACTAATACCGTACTGCAAGTGATTTTGATTCTATGCCTCTGATTAGACAACCCAGGCTTGTGTTAGCTTTTGGGGCCGCTGCGACACACGACTGGCTCGTATTGAAGGGACCGTCCACTGGGAATCCTAGATCCCTCTCACCGTCACTGCTGGTTGAGCCAGGCATTGCCTATTCCGTACCTGTACTTTTGATTTTTCCCCTGTCTAGCTGCAAGACTCTGCTTTTCTCACCACTCAGTCTTATTTATATATTTATTATTTAAATTTATATACCGCCCTATCTCCCTTACGGGACTCAGGGCGGTGAACAGGCAATAATAAAAATCACAATAAATATTGAATAAAAAGCCTGCTCTAAAATACCCCATATAAAACCCCTAGCAAAACCCAATCAAAACTACGCCAGTCTTACCAATTGACGTCCCCTCCAGGGCGAAATAGAATCTCAGTCCAGAAGGGTTTAATGTTTGGAAGTGGGTTAAATCGTAAGCTTCAATTCCCGGAGTTTTAGGGATCAGGGGACGGCGTCTCACTTCCACCCAGAAAAGGTTGGGGTAGAAATCGTCATCCTGTATCGACAGGAGGGTCAGGACACGGCTGTGGTGGCCCACCATTATCCTCAGGGTCCTGTTTTCGAAAGATCCCAAACGCCGTCGGTAGCTGCAAGGAAGAAAAAATACCGCTCTGTCAAAAGGAAGTATAAGGTGGTCCTTGACTTACGGCCAAAATTAAGAAGAATAGAATAGAATAGAATAGAATAGAATAGAATAGAATAGAATAATAGGATAGGATAGGATAGGATAGGATAGGATAGGATAGGATAGGATAGGATAGGATAGAATAGAATAGAATAGAATAGAATAACAGAGTTGGAAGGGACCTTGCAGGTCATCTAGTCCAACCCCCTGCCCTGGCAAAAGGGGACCACGTGACCCTGGGACGCTGTGACCATTTAAGTACGAGTCCATTGCCGAGCGTCTGAATTTTGATCATGTGATGCAACGGCTTAAGTGTGGGAAAACGGCCGGCCCTCAGTCACTTTTTTCGCCGCTGCGGCAACTCCGAATGGTCACTAAACGAACGGTCGTTAAGGCGAGGACTATCTGTCCCTTGAGAACTTCCAAGGGAAGTCCTCTCCTCCAGCACTTACCCGTCTTTCAACGGTCCGCAAAGCCATTAAGTTTAAGCGAATTAAGCTGGTAAGAAATTGGGCTTTTCACAACAACTTCACCTGTGGAACTGCGGGCTCTGAGCAGTGTAGAACTTGTACCAGACCAGGCTGGGCGAATGGCGGGTGGCGGAAAAAGCCGAGACGGAGACTCGGAAAGTGACGGTCGGCTCTTTCACGTGGAGGAGACACACCTGCTCGCCCATCTCGTCGCAAAGGGAAGCATCGGAAACGGTGAGGTGGAAGGCCGGGGCTGCGAGCCGAGAGAAAGGTGAAATGTGGGGTTCTTTTATAATAATAATAATAATAATAAAAAGCAAGCGAGCAAAGTAAAATCTGAACATTTTCAGCACGCCGGATGTATTTCAGTTCTTTTTTCTCCACCTTGCCTTGTGGAGAGGCTCGTTACTAACCAACGGCGGGTCCTTGACTTACGACCGTTCGTTTAATGACTGTTCAAAGTGACCGGAGGGCTCAAAAGACTCAGGGGTCTTCCTCAGTCTTATGACCAGAAGAATTGAAGTCCCCACCCCGGGAGCTGCAGAGGTCACCTAAAAGGATCCATAAAGAGAAGACATGAGCGGGACTTGCCTTGGCAAAGATGGATGCCATCTCCGTCGTAGCCTGGCAAGCAACGGCAATAAAACTCCAAAGAGAGTCTGTCCAGTTGGCAAATGGCTTTTGGGTGGCAGGGCATCTTCCGGCGGATGCATTCGTATTTATGTGGATCTAAGCAAGGAGCAGACGAGAAGCAATGGAGGAGAAAACACTATACTCCATCTGGAATGGAATACACTAATGTGTAGCTTCGGGGCCGAGAGACTGTGCCTGAACAATAAACTTTAACTTTAGCTAACTAACAGAATAGAATAGAATAGAATAGAATAGGAATAGGAATAGAATAGAATAATAATAGAATAGAATAGAAATAGGAATAGGAATAGAAGCTGGAAGGGACCTTGGAGGTCTTCTAGTCCAGCCCCCTGCTAAAGCAGGAGAACCTACACCATCTCAGACAGGTGATTGTCTAGTCTCTTCTTAAAAACCTCCAGTGATGGAGCGCCCACGATTTCTGGTGGCAAGCTGTTCCACTAGTTAATTATCCTCACTGTCAGGAAGTTTCTCCTTTAATTCCAGGTTGCTTCTCTCTTTGGTCAGTTTCCAACCATTGTTTCTCGTCCTTCCCTCTGGTGCTTTGGTGGATAAAGTGACCCCCTCTTTGTGGCAGCCCCTCAAATACTGGAATGCTGCTATCTCCCCTATTTCTTCTTTTCTTTAGACTAGCCAAACCCAAGTCCCGCAGCCGTTCTTCGTATGTTTTAGCCCCCAACTAACTTTAACAATTAACTTTAGCCTCTATGCCCCTTTTATCAAGTGTTCTGTTTATTTATGATGCGTGTTATTCTGTATTCTATTTCCCCCCATCAAATTAGGACCAGAGCATTAACAAGGCCAAACTAAATCAAAACAAGAGCGACAGCACTGGAAACGAATGATAATTTATTTTACTGGCTGAGGTATTCGATTTTTTTTATTACCCTGCCTTTATTGATTTATAAGTAGTCCAAGGCAGTTGCGTTATTTTTAACAAGCCCTTTGAAGGGAAAATTAAAGTCCAGCATGTTTAAAAAGAGTGGGGAAGGGGGAGAAATAACAGGGGAAATTAAAAATAGTCAGGGAGACAGATTCTTAAGTTTGTCAAAGCAACTCACCATTTATCAGACTTTTACCCTGAAGGGTGGAGAGGATGATGAAGAGGAGAGGAGAAGGCAGGAAAGTAGCCTGCATTTTTTTTTTATCGTGGTTTGTCTTTTTCCTGCAAACCTCTCATCCTTCGGCCTACAAATGCAAGCGAGGGGTCAGCAGCACGTCCATCTGTGTCCGTTCGGAACCGGGCAAGGATCCGGAGTCAGGATTCAAGGACGACAAAGGTCCGTTTCATTTCAAATCGTTCTGAAAGTTCCAGTTCTGGATTCTAACCCGTTTATCGCCTCCGAGGGGCGTCGTGGGAAAATCCGAGGAGATGCTGGCCGGAGAGACCTGGATGGCTAGAGTTCCCTTGACGGAGTTGAATCCTTGCCGTCTTTCCGAATTGAAAAGTTTCAGGACGTGGGCAGAACAAGAAGGAAAATATGCCTGGCTGCCTTCCTTTGGCAAAACATCCACCAGTCAAGAAGCCCAAGGTGGTCTTTAGCACACACACACCCACCCACAAAATTTGAAATAATTTAAAGCCACAGTAAAGTTGTGGCTTTAAAATAAATAACATTGCTAGACTCTTCGGCTGGGAAGATGCAAAAGATGGTTTTAAACATTTCTCGGATGTGTAAGCAGCATAGCGCGCGGCAGACTGTCCCATCTAGCTAGGCAAAATTTTCATCATCAACTCCATTTAAAAAAAAAAAAGACAATTCAACCTTAAATGCAATCCCTTAAATAGGAGCCAGCTGTGTGCTGCAGCTGCCAAAAAAGCCAACACAGTGCTAGGCTGCATGAACAGAAAGATAGAATCGAGATCAGGTGAAGTGTTAATACCACTTTACAAGGCCTTGGTAAGGCCACACTTGGAATACGGCATCCAGTTTTGGTCACCACAATGTAAAAAAGATATTGAGACTCTAGAAAGAGTGCAGAGAAGAGCAGCAAAGAGGATCAGGGGACTGGAGGCTAAAACATGTAAGGAACGGTTGCTGGAATTGGGTATATGTCTAGTTTAATGAAGAGATTTAAATTTGGAATTGAAAAAAATCAATCAAGATAGAATTCAGAATCGAAGGTCTGTAGCCTGGCCAGGTGTTTTATCTACGCTAAAACTCCGTCGTCAAGACGTTATGACTTCCAACAACTTTGCGAGGTTGATGGGATGGAAATGGAGAACAGATTTAACCCAAGCCCTTCAATTTAACCAACTTTGGCGGGCAATGATTACATCGGTCAGCTTCAAGCCAGCATTTGGCCAGATTTCCTGGGTCAAAGAAGGGGACCAAATTTGGAGCGATCTCCATCGCCTGCTTGTTTTCACTGTCAAGGAAAGGAGGGGGGGGGGAAAAATCACGAGTGCCGTCGTTTAATTGGAGACTGGAAAAGGAGTAGAATGAGAAATTCAAGAGATTTTTTTTTTTAAAGGGGGTGGGTGGATTTCTTATTTTCCTCCGGCTTTTTTCTTGTGAGTCGTCGGCGGGGCAGGCTCGGAGCTGAGCGACGGGACTTTTACCCCTTTCTGCTTCAACATTTGGTGGAAGTCGAGACGGTCGGTTATGATTTTCTGAAAGACAGGGGCGTCCGTTAGGAACAGCGGGGAGGGGAGTGCCGTGGGTCTTTCCCCCCCCCCCCCCAGCCACCACTGCCTTTCCACCCTCTTACCTGCAAGGCCTCTAAAACCTCCTCGTCGGTGATTTCAGCCTGTGGAGACTTGGTGCCCGGAGTGCTGTAAGCAGCTTGGATAATTTTGCTGCGGAATCTTTCAAACTTTCGAAGAAAAGAGAGAGAGAGAGAGAAAGAGGGAAGGGTTAACGGAGAAAGGGACATCCTGCGACGCTGCCTCCTACTGCCTCGGGGGCCGGTCTTACCCGGGCGCTGACGCTCTCCAGAGTGACTCTGGTCTGCTGTTCCGCCCGTTGCAAAATCTCCAGCTGCTTCTGGAGTTCGTTCTGGCTGCTCAACTGCTTCCCGCTGCGCTGCTGGTTCACCAGGAGCTCCGACTGAAGCTGCTGGACGTTGCTTTGTAAAGAGTGGATGGTCTGGTCACGGTCCGCCAGCTGGGCTTCCAGTTTGGTCACCTCCTGCGAACAGGAGAAGGAAGGAGGAGGAGGGGGGAAAGGAAAAAATGGGCAGTCAATTCTGGGTCTTTTTCAGGGCATGCCTAAAATAGGAATAGGAGCAGTTGATCTGGGTCCACCGAGTCCACCTAACCAGGAGCAGAAATCCACAGGTAGATATCCAAGGAGGGGGGGGTTCCCCTTACCTGTCGAAGTTCGCAATTATCTCTCTCGATGGACCCCATCATTTCCTTGTGTTTCCTCTCCTCCCGCAAGTTGCAAAACTAAGAAGGAAAGGCAGAATTTGGGGGAAAAGTTCCCGCACTGGGGATTTCCAATGAGCAGGGTTTTTTTTTTTTTAAAGGGATGTATAAAAAACAAGAAAGCTGCTTGGATTTGATCCCTCTCTCTCCTTTTATCTAGTCACTAAACAATTTCCCTCTGTTATAGGAACCAGTTGCTTTTCTCCCACACCTGCTTCAGTGTCCTTGGAAGTGAATCAGGCTCTTCTTCAGCAGAATCGACAAAGTTTCATTTCTCCATCTAAACACTTTTAAAGCAACACCTCCCACCCAACTCTAATGGCAGGAAGAAACCAAGAGGCATGTAGCTGCCGAAGTTTCATTCTTGACACACGGACCTCAGTCTCCTGCAGCCCAAGCCCACGGACCAACCTTATTAGACATGGCCTCCAGCTGTTCGCCTCGTTCCCGGAGTTCCTTCTGCAACGACTCTTGATCCACATGAGCTTTCCGGAGTTGGGACTCCTCAAAAGACAACTGTCTCTGCAGGGATGAAATCGCGCCTGGAGAAGCAAGGGTAAGGCAGCCGGTGAAGCCCACCCACCCACATTTTTTCCACCCATACTTCCCTTCTTCGCCTTTTATTCCCCCAACGGACTCTAAGGAGAAATTTCCTGGTGGTGAGGACAATTAACCAGGGGAACGGCTTGCCACTAGAAGTGGTGGGTGCTCCATCACTGGAGGTTTTTAAGAAGAGACAGGACAGCCATTTGCCCGGAATGATAGAGGGTCTCCTGCTAAAGCAGGGGGCTGGATTAGAAGACCCTCATAGGGTCTCCTGCTTGAGCAGAGGGTTGGGTCAAGGTCCCTTCCATCTCTGTTAGGTCTATCATTCTATTAATCAATCAATCAATCAATAAATAAAAAATAACATTTCCCAGCAGCTCCCCCTTTCCCAACTCCCTGACACTGAAGGGAAATGCCAGAGCCGCCTCCGGGTTCTCGAGCTTTTTTCCACTCCAGGTTCTCGAGCTTTCTGGAGGTACCTGTGGCCAGCTCGTACTCGTTCCGCGCTTTCTGCAGCTCTTCGTACAGGAGTTCGTTCACTTTCTGGAACTCCAACAGCTTGTAGAGGATCAAGGTGCTCTCCGATTCCTCCCGGTCGCTCGATTCCCCTTCCCCCAATTTCGAGTCGCTGCTCGAAAGATTGTCGTCCTCCAGCTCCACCAGGCTCTTTTTTCCGCCCAAGGCGAGAGGCGGGGAAACGGAAGAGAACCGTCACCGTCGCGATTGTGGTTGCGTTGTTATTTATTTGTTCGTACTGTTATCCCGTCCACGCACTTCTCCAGATCGCTTCCCATCCCTCTTGGCAACACCACCACCACCACCTTTTTTGCGTCCTTACCTCCTTCTCCATCTGTTCCAGCTCCTCCTGGTCTTTCAAGAGCTCCTTCTTCAGGATCAAGGCTTTCGAGTCCAGCTTCTGCTCCGATTGGCTCAGCAACGCTTTCAGACGCTCAAACTCCTGGCTGGATTCATCCGCCAGATCCAGACGGAGGGAGGGAGTGCTCTTCCATTCCGGCTGCAACAAGGAGCTGGTGCCCAGCAGCTGGCTGAAGCCCCATTCTGCAGCCTTGGGGGAAAAGAAGATTTGGAAAGCAAGCAACCGCTTAGAGAGGGCTGGGCAGCAGCATATAAGCCTATTGCTACTGCCATTCATAAATCTCGCTAAAGAAAACTTGGTGGCTTGGAGGGGGAAAGAAAAAAAAACCAAAAGCAAACAGGTCCTGGCAGCTATCCAGGCGCGAGATAAAGAAGCAAAGAAAGAGAGGGCGGCTACCTCAATCGAAGTGCTCCCTAAAAACGTGGCCTGCCATTTTTGCAGCTGCTCCAGCTGTTTCTGCATTGCCTCGACCTCTTCCCGCAGGACCGCGATGACGGCATCCTTCCGGGTGCACTCGGCTTCGTAAGGAGCGAGGCGGGCCAATTCCTCTCCCATCTTATTCAGACTCACATCCTGGGAAGGGAACCAAAATTCCTCAGCCGAACGTCCCCCGCTTAATCTTAAATACCCACCCCCCACCCCGCGTCCAGATTTCCCACTGTTAGATCTCCACGGGACTCGGAAGGGGAACAAGCCCCGCCTGTTCCCTGCAAACTGCTCCCTTCACTAAAGGAAGTGTTGTAAACCGAGGACTTCCCGTGGAGTTGCCCCGCAAGACGTTTGTCTTTAATAAAAAAAAAAATCCTGATTTTAATAAACTTTGCCAGTCGGAAAAGGAGCCAGGCGACTCCCGATTTTGGGCCTTCCGTGGGCGAACACAGCTCTCTCTCCCGATCCTGTCCCAAAACATCTCCGGGGAAAGTCGTTCCTTCCGTTTGGCTGCCGGGTTCAAATCCTCACCTTCTCGTGAAGTACAGGGATGTACCATGGCATCTTGTTCCCGGAGCGGATTTTAATGTTGCTGGGGGGGACGATGCCTTCGGTAAAGCTCTTCCACTTGGGCAGCACGACTTCCGAGGACAAAGAGTGACAAACTGGGAAAGGTGGAAAGAGAGAGAGAAACGTCACTCAAAGCCAACCCGAAGAAGGCAGGCTGCTCCAAAAGGTTGTGGGGTGCCCCCTTTTGGTTAGGGGGAGGAAACAGAGGCTGGCCTATAGAAGAAAAGGGGGAGGAAACAGAGGCTGGCCTATAGAAGAAAAGATTTGTAACTCTGGGGTTGAACTGTGATGCTCAGTGAGTTGGGTGGCTTCCTTGCAGATGTTTCATGACCCAACTAGGTAACATCATCAGTGCTAGAAGGGAATGGGGGTTATGGAGAGGAGGAGGAGGAGGAGGAGGAGGAGGAGGAGGAGGAGGAGAGGAATAGGACGGTGGGGTCCTTGGTGCTCTCTGAGTTTGGTGCCTTTCTTACAGACGTTTCATGACCCAACTAGGTAACATCATCAATGCTAGAAGGGAGTGGAGTTGGCGGAGAGAAGGACTTATAGTGGAGTGATATATATAATTGAATGTAAGCGCTAATGTAGTTTTGTGTTCTGGGTTTAAAATGAAGGGGTTTTTTTTTTTATCCCCTTTATGTATAATATTTGAGTATTTGTTAAAAGTTAGTAAAATATCAAAACTAGGAAAAGTGTTTCCTCCCTTTAGGCATAAAATTAAAATTGAAATAATATAGAGGATTCTCTTAATGTGAAGAAAGTATGATAAAGATTAATGATTAAACAGAAGCATAGATTATTATTCCCCACAGGAAGGACCGATGCTGCTTTAATGCTATAAATCTCTCCTGGTTTTGGGAAGGTTCTGGGAAGAAAACCTTGTCACTGAAGCCAGACAAAGACACTTACATCTGATGCGACTTCTCGAGTCCCAAACTTCGGGATTTTGGATAAGGGAATTCCAGTCTTCCAGGGAGATCTGGGAAGTCAGACTCATGGTGCTGAGGTTGGATGGGAGATCCCCAGACTTTAAAATGCTGCTCTCTGCTGGGGAGAGGAATGGGGTGAGGTGGGGACAGCAAGGAGAGAGAATCCAGTTCTGACTCTTTCACGTCTGGGATGGTATTAACTGCCTTGGGCCGGGGGTTGGACTAGAAGACCTCCAAGGTCCCTCCCAGCCCCGAGATTCTATGTAATTCTAGCATTAAGTTTGAAAACTGTGGGTTCACACAGCACTAAACTACGGTTTGCATTAGCACGAAAAGTATACATGTAGTCCTTGAATTACAACAGTTCATTTAGTGGCAACACTTTAAAAAGTGACGTAGGACCTTTTTTTTTTTTACACGTACGACCCTCGCAGCACGCCTAGGGGTCATGCAATCAAAATTTAGACGCTGGGCAACTGCCTCGTATTTACGACGGTCGCAGCATCCCGGTGTGTGTGCATGTGTGTGTGTGTCTGAGACATGATTCCCCTTCTGACAAGCAAAGTCGATTAACAACCGGTTCTTAACTTAACTGCCGCAGCGATTCACTGAGTGGCGAGGAAAGGGGCAAAATGCATTTTCACAACGGTCTCGCCTAGCAAAGGGAAATTTGGGATCATAAGGACCCCTTTTACTGTGCGATTTCGCTGACCACCCGCCAAGCCGTGGGCGGGGGCATCATGGAGGCCAAGCAAGTGACAAGTCGATGATGAGTTTTACCGAGGGAGGCTGATGTGGCCTGGTGGCAATACTGAGGACATCCTGGCCGTTTCAGGAAGCAGCTCTGAAGCACCGCCGAGTCAGAAAAATCACTGGATACGCTGGAAGTCTTCCTCTGCTGCTCAGCCTGGGAGAGGAGAGAAAGTTAAGACTCAACTCCCTCCGCTTATTGGTAAGCAGGAGGTTTCTCCAACTTTAACCAAAGGACGAGCTGGAGACTGGAAAGACCCTGGAGAGTTTTCCTTCCTAGTGAAAAGGACTAGGGGGGACATGATAGCAGTCTTCCAGTATGTGAGGGGCTGGAGGGGGTCACATTATTCTCCAAAGCACCAGAAGGCAGGACAAGAAACAACAGATGGAAACTAATCAAGGAGAGAAGCAACCTGGAATTAAAGACAAATTCCCTGACAGTGAGGACAATTAACCAGTGGAACAGCTTGCCACCAGAAGTTGTGGGTGCTCCATCACTGGAGGTTTTTAAGAAGAAATTGGATAGCCGCTTATCTGGAATGGTATATAGGATCTCCTGCTTGAGCAGGGGACTGGACTAGAAGACCTCCAAGGTCCCTCCCAGCTCTGTTATTCTGATTCTGGATATTATTTTGGAGACCAAAGGAGATTTTGGAGACACTTGGAAGTGTTTTCAACTAAGCTACGGGATTTACACTACGCAGATTGTGATTTTAGGATTCGGAGCAGCAGGAAGACCTAGGAAATGGCGTTAACTGAGCAAACAGGTGGTCCTCGGCGTACAACAATTTGTTTAGTGATCATTCAAAGTTGTAACGGCACTGAAAAAGGTGACTTAGGACCGTTTTTCACACTTACGACCATTGCAGCATCTCACTTGGCAACTGGTTCATATTTCTGAGGGTCGCGGTGTCCAGGGGTCATGTGATCCCCTTTGGTGACCTTCTGACAAGGGAAGTCAAGGAGGGGAGCTGGGTTGACTTAACAACCTTGTTAATAATTCAACAACTCCAGTGATTCACTTAAGCACTGTGGCAAGAAAGATTGTAAAATGGGGCAACAGCTGTCTCGCTTAGCAACAGAAACCTTGGGCTCCGTTGAGGCCATAAGTCAAGGACTACCTGTATTAATACCTTTCCAAATATTAATACGACTAATGGCCCTTTTGCAAACCAAGCAGGAGGCATTGCCTACCTGTTTCTCATAATAAAGCCTGACCGCATGAAATGCTTTACTGGGGTGGATTTTCTCACTGACGGGACGAGTCCACAAAAGGGTCTGCTGTGGGGAACTCGTCTTCCGCAGCTCACTTATCCCCTTACTCATTAAGGTAGGGTTTTTCTCCATGATTGCAGAAACCTTGTTCTCTCTTCCACCTAAAAAGCCCTAGAAATAAATAAAAAAAATCAAGTTTTTAAAAATTATTGTGCACCATGAAGTTGTTATCGACTCCTAGGCAAATAAATAGATTTTTTTTTTTTACCCATGACCTGATCTTAAGAGGGGAAATAAAGAGTAGATTATCTTTCTGGCTGTATTTATTTCATTTCTTGGAAAGAAATGACTGCGATTTAAGGATAGATGGAGGGATAAATAGGTAGGTAGGTAGGTAGGTAGGTAGAGATAGATAGATAGATAGATAGATAGATAGATAGATAGATAGATAGATAGATAGATAGATAGATAGATAGATAGATAGATAGACAGACAGATATAGACAGACATAGATATAGATGATAGATAGATAGATAGATAGATAGATAGATAGATAGATAGATAGATAGATAGATAGACAGACAGATAGATAGATAATGGATGAATGGACGGAGACATCAGCAAACATCCCAAATACTCCAGTATGTATATAATATATATCAAATACATATATCAAATATATATAATTCACATATTATATAAAATAATAATATAGTAATAGAAATAGGAGTCAAAATGCAGGATTGGTAGCCAGGCTGAACTCTTCCTTTCTGGCGGCTTGAGGGGGGGGGGGGCTAATCCTTAGATTTGCCAGGCTGGGGCTTATGGGGATGGTAGTTCCCCATTTGCAAAAGCCAGCAGGTTGGAGGAAACCTGCTTACCTGCCCGAAAATAAACACATACAATAATGCTTAATATACTCTTGTGAATAAACCGCCTGTCATGGTAATTCACAATTGTGTAATAACGCACCAACTAGGCTCAAAGGCTCTCGGGCCTCCATTCAAGTAGGCTAACGGTTGCATAGCAACGTGGGAGGAAAAGCGACGCGCGGCGCGATTACGTCTTCTCCGCGACAGAGAGGCGCATGCGTAGTCGAGGATATAGCGGACGAGAAAGGGCACCTCCGAAGGCGCCATCTGATTGGGCGGCCCGGATTCCCGGGGCTGCGCGCATGCGCTTGAGGCTTGCGCTGGATCGGCGTGGGTTTTGGTTGGGAAGCTCCCGGGGATCGAAGGATCGCTCTTTCCGGGCCACTGGGTCCGGGATCGCGGCTTACCTTTGCAGGTAAGGCGGAGAGTCACCAGGTGCAGCTTATTCATCTCGGACCATAAAAATAATAATAATAATACTTGGATCAACTGCATCGGTTGAATTGCGGGCTGCCTTTTGCAAGAAGCTGCCACAATTGCACGGCATGCGCGGGGGGGGGAACTCCTCCCGTTGAATCAGCGCCTTGCAAAAAGCGAGTGGCTCCGCTTTCCCTCTTGCAGGGCTGCTTGCAATGCTGCAGAAATTCAACAGGTGCAGCTCGCTGCTTTGCAACCTGGGTGCAAGAAGTTACTTGTTTTCAGTGCTGTTGTAACCTTGAACAGTCCCTAAACAAACTGTCGTAAGTCAAGAACCACCTTTATTTATGTTTTTATATTTGTAGGGTTGATTTCAGTTTTTCAACTTTTAAGCTGCGTGGACTTCAACGCCCAGAATCCCCCCGCCAGCATTCTGGGAGTTGAAGTCCACCCAGCTTAAAGTTGCCCAGGTTGAGAAACATTGGTTGTGTGAATCGCCTCTCAGCTTCCTTGGAGCCTCTTTCCCTTCTGGTTTTAAATAAAAATACCATTTTGCAAAAACTTGGTTTTTTTAATCCCTCTGCTCTTTCCCAGCAGCCATCTGGACTCCGTTACCCTGGTTTTTTTCCCCCCTTTCTCTGCTGGAAAAGGACATCATGGTTCAACTAGGTAAGTGGCATTACAGAATGCTTTATATATCTCCATGCCCATACAGCGGGCTCCAACACATAGCAGTTATAGCAGGAAATGGAAGAGGGAGAGAACACAGGCTGAACCATGGTCATTGTTGCCGTTGTAACTTCAAACAGCCACTAAATGAATTGTTGTAAGCTGAGATCTAACTCGATTGCTGACTGAGGATGTCTGCCCCCAATTTCCTCCCAACAGGACGCCCCCTGCTGAAGAAGTACCGCAGTGTCCGGGTGGTCATCCGGCTATCCCTCGGCGGTTGCACCAACCGGCCTTTCTACCGGATCGTAGCCGCGCACAACCGGCGCGCCCGGGACGGCAAGTATCTGGAGCAGATCGGCTGCTACGACCCTCTGCCCAACCGCTACGGCGAGAAGATCGTGGGGATCAACTTCGACCGCTTCAAACACTGGTTTGCTTACGGAGCCACCTTGACCAAGCCGGTGGAAAAACTGATGGGTAAATGCACCCCTTTGGTTTGGATCACAGGTTGCCCTCGACTTAACGACCGCAGTGGAGCCTGAAAGTTCTGTCGTTAAACGAGACATTTGTTAAGCGAGACATTTGCCCCATTTTACGACCTTCCTGGCCACTGGTGTTAAGTGGATCCCTGCAGCTGATATGCTAGTAACCCGCTTATTAATTGAACCTGGCTTCCCCACTGACATTGCTTGTCAGAAGGTCACAAAAGGGGATCGGTCGTTAAGCGAATCACTGCAGCTGATAAGTTAGTCACAAGACCATTTCAATCAATCAATCAGAATAGAGCTGGAAGGGACCTTGGAGGTCTTCTAGTCCAGCCCCCTGCTCAAGCAGGAGAATCTATACCCTTTTCAATCAATCAGAATAGAGCTGGAAGGGACCTTGGAGGTCTTCTAGTCCAGCCCCCTGCTCAAGCAGGAGGCCCTAGACCATTATAGCGACTACGAGCGACTTACAAAGATGGGGAAGCCGATGGAATGTTGCAAGTCGTGCGATGTCTCGCTTAATGACTGCAGCAAAAGTGGCTGTAAAGTTGGGTGCAGTCATGCAAGGCCTTCCTCAATGGCAAAATTCCCGGTATGGCCACAATAACTCCTGGGCTCCCCGTGTGCTTGATATTTTTCCTATTACATTTGCAAATGATGCTCAATGCATGGAGTGATGCATTTCTTTAAATATATATATATATTTTAAATGTTTAGGTCTTTCTGGCTTTTTCCCCCTGCATCCGATGTCCATCACAAACGCTGAGCGGTTAAGGAAGAAAAAAGCCCAGGAGGCAGAAAAAGCAGCTGAAAAAGGAGGAGGAGGAGAAGAAGATTTGGAAGAAAAGCAGGAACATCAGCAAAACTGATCAATGGAGCGAGAGAAAAAAAAACCTCACAGCCCGTTGGAGACTGAAAGGATAATGTTGATTTTATTTTATTTTTTCCTTTTTTTAACCGCACGGCATTGTGACGTGCCACTACGAAACCTCGCCCCGAATTCAAAAGAGGCGCGTGCATCAAACAGCCTGCCTAGGAGTGCGCAGGGCAGGGTCTGCGCAATCTGGAACTCGGGGCTTCCTAGCCTAGTTCACGCGGTTCAATCCCAAATTCAAACGAAAACCCGCTGAGGTTTGGGTTCGAACGCCAGGAGACGGTTCCAAGCCGCGGGGACGGGCTTTGGCAGTTTTAGCTGATTTATAAATAAATTTTAATTTTCTGCAGTTTTCAATAAGGTGTATGGTAGCTGCAAGCAGAAATGTAGCTGTCTTTTTCAAGGGGGGGGGGAAGGAAATGCATTTTCCCGCAGTCGGAAATCTAGCATTAAGAACAGAAAAATGTTTTTTCTGAAATAGGGACATTTGAGACGGCAGCAGCCCCCGTCTTGGGGTCTTCCTTGGTGAGTGGACGATAGGCGCAGTAGTCACAGAGAAAGTCACTTCAGAAGCTTCGCAGGGGGCTTTGAGCCAGCCCAGCAGGGGTTTTGTAGTCATTTGTCGTGTGCATCGGCTGGCTGTGGGTGCGAGTTTTCGGATCCTGTTTCTATCACCACCACCCGGTTTTCCCTTCGGGCTTTCTCGGCTGCAAACACCAAGAGGTGAGAACGGAGCGTCTCTTCGGCGCTCGTCATTATGCGAGACGGATCATTCTCCTGTTGGAAAAGGAAGGAAAGAGTTTCAGGGAATCCCATCTCGTGCTATGTAACTAGTCCTCAATTTACCACAGTTCATTTAGTGACCAAAATTGCAACAGTACTGGAAAAAGCGACTTAACGATCATTTTTCATACTTAACGACCATCCCAGCATCCCCAAAAGTCATAAAATGGGGCAAAACTCGCTTAAGGGTCTCACTTAACAACAGAAATGTTGGACACGATTGCGGATGTAGGTCGAGGACTACCTGTGCTAGCTAAGGATGGGTCACCTTGTGGCGAACAAATTTAAGAAATCAAAATAAAACAATGGGATTTTGTAGTCCGAAACGGCCACGTTGGGGAAAACTAATTCATCCTAGTTAGTAGAACTTGCATGGAGCATTGCAGTCTTGAGTTTTACTGTGGTTTTTTTTTTAATAAAAGGGGGGGGGAACAAAACCACTTAACCGATACGGCCGAGACGAAGTTGTGGATCAAATAATAATCCGCGCCGCAGTGACCGTCTAAACAAGCCGGGATGTCGGGCGTCAAACGGGGAAAAAACGAAGTTCTTTTTTTCTGAAGGAAGTCAAAAATCTCCACCTCTTCTCCCCCCCCTTTGCAGGAAAGCTCGCCCTGGGGGGAAAAAAAGACGAGCAGAGAAAATAAATTATATTTTTCTAATTGCAAAACCACATTGGGGAGGGGGAGAAAGGGAAAATAAAAGGCTGGGTTGTAGGCTCAGGAAACTCCATGGAGAGTTAAAAGGAAGTTTTTCACTGGGAAAAAACGAGAGAAAATTTCTATTCCTGGCACAACAGCCCTATAAGGTAGGCCAGGCTGAAAGGCAGAAGTAATAAGCAGGGTTTATCTGGGTTGCGTTGCCGTCCTTACTTCCCCACCGCAATGATTAACCGCGAGCTGTGATGGTTTACAACAATATCTCTTATTCTTTTTGACTTGATTGATGGACTTCAATTCCCAGCTCGGCTGGCTTGGGAATTCTGGGAGTTGAAGTCCACAGGCCTTAAAAGTCACCCAGATTGGGCACCCCGTGATCATACCTGAACTAGCCACTTTTGCCTATCAGTCACACTTCCGGCTTTACGAGTGGGAACACCCCAGCCCATTGTGGTTTACACATTCCACCATGCTTAAAACAAACCAAGATTCGGTGCAATCTCGGATTCGGGAGAAATATTCCCATTTCCACGTCCATTTTTCAAATGCCCCAAATAGGCATTTCAGCTCTTAACCTTGGTTCCATAGATGGTGGTGGTTCGCTCCCCCAGTTTTTCCGTAAAAGCCACCATCGTGAACGCAGCCGTCGCCCCGCCTTCAAATTCCATATTGACCACCTGAAAAAAACCCATAAAATTTAAGTTCAAGGACTCTGTTGCTCCGGAAAAAACGACGGACGAACGCAAGTGCGTACCTGGTGGCTGACGACGTCGTTGTCACAATCGTAAATGCATCTTCCGTACGGGCCGAGTCGCAAGGCTTCGGTCAGCGTTTCTATATCAGACCCCCCGTTGCTGCAGACCACCGAGACCGGCCAGTTAAAAACACCCTGGGGTGAAAGGAATTAGCACCGCTGCAAGATTAGGGGAGATTTTTGAGGATTTCTGGGGTCCAGTTTCCCAGCTGACATTAAAGGAGATCTGGATTATTATTTTTTTAAAGGCTGCATGCTGAATTTACACATTGCATTCAGCCCCAAAAACCCAACACCCTGGTAATTAAATTTAATTTTCAATCCAATTAAAAATTCAATTAAATGGTATAGGTTCTCCTGCTTGAGCAGGGGGCTGGACTAGAAGACCTCCAAGGTCCCTTCCAGCTTCTCTTCTCTTTATTATTTCTATTCTATTCATTATTCTATTCTATTCTGTTCTTCTATATTCTCTATTCTGTTTTGTTCTGTTCTATATGTTATGATCCAGTTTACCTTTTCTGCACGCTCCAGGTAGATCTTCCGGGCAGAATAGGCACAATTTGATTCCACCGAACAGTCTAAGCAGCGAGTGCTAGCTCCTTCAGGCTGGAATGAAAACAAAATAAAAGGCAAATTTAATGAACTACCCAAGTAGTCCCCGTTTTATGACAGTTCCACTCCTATGCCACCCCATCAAACCAGATATAACGACAAACCTTGTTCTCTTTTGTGAAATGCAAGAGGTGTCCGAAAGAGGAAACTTGTAAACATCTGAAAGGACAGGAGAAAAAACAAAATATTTGAAGACTTAAGCACAGAGGTTGTGTCCAAGAGGACATGCAGTCCTCTACTTACGACTACAATTTCTGTTGCTACGTGAGACATTTCTTAAGTGAGTTTTGCCTTGTTTTACGGCCTTTGCTAGTCCTACCTTTTATTCCCCATCCAAAAATTGATCAGGTCGATATCGTGGCAGGATTTAGCCAATAAAGAGAAAGAACTTTCGCTTTCGTTTCTCCAGTTGCCCCGGACAAAGGAATGGGCAAAATGCCAGAAACCTATCTAGATGAATAAAAGGGGGGGAGGGGGGAAAAGGCAATTGATACCCTAGAAAGGCTGAAATTTAAAAAAAACAGGCATTTCGATGACCGTAATGCAGTTTGTCAACAAATGGAAAACTCATTCAACAACTGTCCTGCTTATCAACAGACATTTTGCCCTTAATTTTGGGTCATAAGTGAAGGATTACCTATATAGAAGATCAAAGCTATGGGGCAATTTATATTTGATGAGTTCCCAACCAGAATAAAACCAGTTAGGTAACGCTGCCTAGTGGTTAAGAGCGATTAATCTGAAAGTGGAACTTGGAGGGGGGGGGGCTTAAGGAGCATAAAATCTCAAAACTGAAAAAAAAATGTATTTAAAAAAAAATTAAACACGAGAAGGCGACACAACGGGAGCGAAGGACACACTTTTTACATAAAGTACATCATCTTAGAAAGAATTCTTACAGGTCCCAGATGTTGAATATGGCAAATGTCGCCAATCAAGCCAGCATCTAGCAATTCCTGAAAAAAAAAAATAGAGAAAAGCTTGGTTTCAATTTTTTTCTGTCTTTATTTATTTTATTTATTTTGTGGGATATGGGGTTCATGAAAGCTGTTCTATCCATGATTAGAACATCATTACTTGGGGCCTTTGGGAGCGAACGTTTGGTGGGGGAAAAAAAAAACCAAATTCAAATGCTGGTCCCTCTTATCTTTGTCTTAACATCGCCAGCCAAATCTGCCGTTGGAAAGAGAGACATCATACTGTCGAGACAAGAGAGGTCATCTAGTCCAACCCCATGTCCCCGGTTGGGTGCTTAAGAACACATCACCTTGATCTTCAGGGTGACTGGATGGTAACGGAGCACGTGGCACACGGCAAGGATAACATGATTCCTCTCACAGGCCCGAACAACCTCTTTGCAATCTTCTGCCGTCACCTAATTCATAAGCAAAGCGTTTTTTTAAAAAAATAAAATAAATAATAAAATTGTTACATAAAAATAATAAAATATTTTCATAAGCCCCAAAGTACTTTTGTTAACATTAGTAATAAATAACACCTTGCCAAAACTTACCGCCATGGGTTTTTCTAACAAGATGTGATATCCCTTTTGTGCAAAAGCTACTGCAGGTGCCTGACGAAAAGGAATAATAATAATAATAATAATAATAATAATAATAATAATAATAATAATATGAGCTTCAAATAAATTTGATAAAGAAAGCACAACTGCAAAGTATGGACAGAGCAAAAAACACCACCAAACACAGAAGAAGGACCATTAATTTTTTTTTTTTTTTTTTAAAAAAAAAAAAAAAAAAAAAAAAAAAAAAAAAAAAAAAAGATTGCATGGCTTCAAAAGTCTTTTTTTTTTTTTCTCTATAGGCGATTTTTTTATTTTCAGTTTCTGGTGGCAGGGATGCTCCCGGTGACACAAAAACCCCTGCAAAGTGCAATACAGAAAAATGACAATTAAAAAACAATAATAAAAAAAACAGAAGTGAGACCACCTTATGGAGTCTGTCCGGAGTTGTGATAATCACAGCGTCGGCAAATTTTTCCCGTTCCGCAGGGGCAATCCAGTCTTCAAAAAAGAAAAGCTGTTTGTATTCAAGGGATAAAAGGGGACGCTAAAAATATTTAGTCTGCTGCAGAAGAGATGCACAGCGAATTGGGGGATTCCTATGACCAGAAAATCAGAAGGGGGGCATTAGAGGTCATCTAAGTCAACCCCCATACTCAGGGCAAACTTCCCCCAAAATTGGCTCCTTTAAATAATTTTAATTTTTGTTAGTGATTTTTTAAATAATTTTTTTGAATTTGTTTTTTTTTTTTAATGGAATTAAAAAAAATATTTTAAAAGGAATCGGGTTTTTTTGCAATGGGGATGAGAGGGGCCATTTGAAGGAAAAGGAAGATTAAAATCCAGCAGGTCCCAACCGTCAAAGACATTTTCCGCTGGGATCTTGTGCGCGTCTTGTAGTTTTTTACGGACGATCTCTCGAGGATCAGCCACGCCAACCACCTGCAATGAAGAGAAATCAAGCACCATTTTAGAAAGCCTGTCTGTCTGCAGGCTAGGAACATCTGTCCGAATAGCCTGTGACTCACTTCTGGTCCTAACCGGTCGTAAATCAAGGACCAACTCTTCAAAAAAAAAATACACACAGCTGCTTGAGCGAGGGGTTGGACTAGATGACCTCCAAGGTCCCCTAGGAGTCTATGATTCTGAGATAGATAAGATACATGACAGACAGAAGGTAGGTAGGTAGGTAGGTAGGACTGAAAGGGAGGGAGGGAGGGAGGGAGGGAGGAAGGAAGGAAGGAAGGAAGGAAGGAAGGAAGGAAGGAAGGAAGGAAGGAAGGAAGGAAGGAAGAGTGAAGGGAGGGAGGGAGGAAACTTCTTGTATCCCAAATGCTGTTTTATTTTGTCACATTTGGAGGAATAATATTAAAATATGTCTATGGAGATTCTCAGTCATCCAGGTCATAGTCAACATATTAAACATTAAAACCTGTAATCCTGTTTTTAAATAAAATACAAAATATACATATGTGCCTTTTAAAGAAGTTTTTAAAAGGTTTGACTGAACATACCCACTGTCGGGGATTTTGCCGGATCTGTCTGAATGACATAAAATGTCTGCTCAAAAGAAAAAAGAAATATTAAGTAATAATTACATTAATCACCACCAGGATTTTACCTTCATGCGATCCGGGTAATATAAAGCATAGGAAGAATAATTCTTCCCTCGGTTTCCTGCGCCAATAACCAAGACGGTGATTTGACGAGACATTCCGACAGACCTAATCAATGAAAGAATGGGTTAAGAAAGCCTTTGGAACCATCATCCACTCCTTGTGTGGGATTCAGACATCAGGCTAGAAATCAGGAGATCCTGAGTTCAAGTCCTACCTTAGCCCTGAAAGCCAGCTGGGTGCCTTTGGGCCAATCACCAGGAGACGCTGAGTTCTAGCAAAAGGGTCTGGTTTTTTTTTTAAAGGGCCCCTTTAAAAAAAAGAGACGCCCCTTCCAAGATCCAAGCCCTTTCCTAGACAAACCAGGATCACCAATCTCTGTTTCCTATATAGACAAACCTGGACCACAAAACCTATTGTTCTTTTTTGCAAAAAATTATTCCTTGGCATTTGCAAGAAATTCCTTCTGCTTTCCGTGTTGTTTTCCCGACAGGATCACCCATTGCACTAAAAAATAAATTAAAAAAAGGAAATTACTCACCCATCAGAATAATGGCAGCAACTGTCTCAGATACAGACAATTAAGCAGACGCTGGCGAGGCCACGCCCCCCACGCCCCCCTCCTGGCTCCTCATTGGTGCGAGGCTCTTTCTGCGGAGCGCCGACGTCATGAAAACGAAAGGGATCTTGATTGGCCGGCAGAGTGAAACCCGAAAGCTGATTGGTTAGAACTTGAAACAGTTAAAAAGGCATCAGGAAGGGCGCCATTCATCGTTTTAGACTTTAAGTTTTAATTTTAATGTTAAATTTAAAATGTGCGTTAAGCTGGGTTATAACTATAATAAAGGTTAGATTTGATTTAATTTGAATTGATTTGGGCATGGGTATTTTTATTTTTTTTTGCAATGCTGTTAATTGCGGACAAAGAGATGGTGCATAATAATTAATTTTTTCCTCTAAATTAGTGTTTCTCTACTTCCGCAACTTTGGAGATGGGTGCACTTCAACTCCCAGAATGCCCCAGCCTGCCTTCTTTAAAGACTTCCGCTCCCAGAATTCCCTCTGGCAGCATGTTCCGGTATGAATCAGGAATTTTGCCCTCCTATTTCCGGAGTCAATAAAGGGAGTAGCCGCTCCGTGCAAGCCCTTCCTTGCGATCTAGAGCAGTGGGTCAGGCTAGATGATCTCTTGAGACCCCTACCACCTTTGACATTTTGATATTCTAACCCCAAAAGGGGGGAAAAAAAGACAGCAGCCATCTTGGATATTTTTTTTTAATTAGATATGCATCTGTGATTATCCTTCCCGCCCCCTCAAAAAAAAAAAAAAGAGGGGGAGCATGGCACACGGGCCCTGAATTGCTAATTTTTTTTTTTATTATTTTTTTGCCCTCCTTCATATGCTCAGCATCAGTGGTTGCTGTTCGTCAGTCAGTTCCTCCCCTGGGGGGATTTGGTAAAAGACGCAGAGCGAGGAATACAGGCAGCCCACGAAAGAGACCACGCTGGCGAAGTACATCACCCCGTTGGCACTGCCCACCGCGGCCGTTAAAGGACCCATGACGATGGAGACCAGAATCTGGGCCAGGAAATACTGACAGCTGAGGAGGGAGATGTCCACCCCCATGCCTCGCTTCGTCCCGTCTTTGCTGGTGCCGACAAACTGTTTCGCGAAGGACGAAAGAGAAAGGGGAAAAAAAAGAAGATTAAAAAGTTTAAAAGGTGGCCGAACTTCCTAGCTCCGTGCCTTGGATAACTGCACGGCAATAATAATAATTATAGAGAAAAAAATGCCTAGACAATACTGTAATTATAGAGCAGTGTTCCTCATCCTCGCCCACTTGAAGAGGGGTGGACTTCAATTCCCAGAATCCCCCAAGCAGCCATAATGATCCCAGAATTCTGGGGGTGGAAGCCCAGCTCTCTTCAAGCTTGAGAAACGCTACCATCGAGTAAAAAGTTAACTCATTTCTACACAACTTCTAAACGCTTAGAGCGTTCTTTTCTAAGCGACTCCCCTCTGAAAGAGGAGGGCCCTCTGTGCATGCCCAGAGACCCTACGGCCGAGGAATTTGAGCAATTGCAATACCTGTTTACTTTGATAGTAGTCACACAGCAAGGAATAAGGGAGCGTGCAGAGGGTGGAAAACAGCACTCCGTAGGTGACGCAAAGCGTCAGGATCACGTAGATATTCCGGGTCAAGGTAGCCAGACCGGTGCCGAGGCCAAAAACTAAATATGCTATAAAATACAGCGTGCGGATGCTGAAATATTCTTCCAGTTTCTCAAGGGAGGCTGCAAAAGGAAGGAAAGTCCATTCACGGCCTCAGCGTACGTAACCCAGCTCATTCAACTGGGAAACTGCAAACTGCAAATGCGTTAATTGCAAATAAATTATCCGGAACAAACCTATCTCTGAGATTTTCATTATGCATTTGATTAGATTATCCATGCTTTTTTTTTAAAGGAAGGAGAGGGGGGAGGGAGGGAGGGAGGGAGGGAGGGAGGAAAAAGATGAAGGAAGGAGAGAGACAAAAGAAGGAAGAGAGATGAAGGAAGGAAGGAAGGAAGGAAAAAGATAAAAGAAGGAAGGAGAGATGAAGAAAAGACAAGAAAGGAAGGAGAGAGATGGAGGGAAAGAAGGAATGAAAGATGAAGGAAGAAAGAGGAAGGAAGGAAGATAGAAAGAGATGAAGGAAGGAAAGACAAAAGGAAAGAAGGAGAGAGACAAGGAAGGAAGAAGAGAGAGGAAGGAAGGAAGGAAGGAAGGGGAAAAAAATAACCATAGGAACTTTCCACCGTAACTTCAGAATTAAACCCACCAGTGGAATAACTCTTCAAAACCTCAATGAGACAACCCTTAAAATGGGCGCAACCTCCTCTTTAAAGGACGCCTCTTGACATTACCGTGTCTGTAAAGTGGTATAGCCCTCTCAGAGGTCAGGACATCCTTCCCTGCTCCTGAAAACCCACCGCCTGATTCCCCCCTCCCCCGTGTCATCCCCACTTGCGTCGCCCAAATCGAAAAATCCCACCGATTACCCGAATACAGGGCCGCGCTGAACGCATAAATGCACATGCCCCAGCACCCCATGGTGACGCCGGCATTGTATCTCTGGCGCTCGTCTGAATCCGGGGGGGCTTTGGGGTTCCCCTGGTAGACCACCTCTCCCATGAAGTCGGTGTAGAACAGCAGCATCCCTTCAAACGACAGCCAGCCTGAGAACGGGATCAGATCACAAGAAACACGTCAGAAGAAACAGATCATCAGAGATGGGTAGAAAAGATGGTTTCCCCCAAGCTACGTTTTTCAAATGAGAATCCTTCCAGTCCTTGATGACCTATGCTTTCCCCCCCCCCAGGCACAAACAAACCAGGATTTACCAGCCACAATACACCCAGGGCCAACCCACATCCAAAAACCACTTTAGGACTTAGCTTAACCTACCGGTTGGCTGTTGTGAGGTTAAGCAGGTGAGAAGGAAAAAGGAGAACCGCAGAGATCTCTTTGCCCTCCTAGAGCTACTGTGTTTCTCAACGTCCGCCATTTTAAGAGGCGAGGACTTCAACTCCCAGAATTCCCCAGCCAGACATGCTGGCTGGGGAATTCTGGGAGCTGAAGTCCTCGCCTCTTAAAGTGGCAGAAGTTGAGAAACTCCGTCCTAGATGAACAAAAAAAAAAAATCAAACCAAGGTTGGAAATAATCTTTTCTTTTTTCTTTTACCTAGGAAGTGGTTGATGCAAAGGTTGCGAAGGACTTTTGGCATGTGACAAACGGTGGAACACAAAAGCTTGATCGACAGGGGCTGTTCGAAGACTTCGTTCGAGCCGTTCAACTCGCTCTCGTACTTCACCCCGTTCAGCAAAATATTTGCTACCTGCATCCAAAAACCGGTGCTGGATCAGTTCAAAAGGGGCGCACAGGAAGCTCACAAACCACAATGCAGTGTGCCCCCAAATGAGAATTACAAGCAAGGCTGCTTTTCCAGCTCACCTGTTGGCTGAACGTGACATTCCTTCGCCGAGAGCTTTCTGGAAGGTTCCCGGTGATGATATCCGGGATGGCCAAAGTCTGCGGCCGTTTCAGGATCCCCGACGAACGGGGTTTGATAGCGTCCAAGGACCCCACCCTCAGTCCTTCCCTGCCATTTTCCCGGCTCTCCAGCGCAGCATTTTCAGGGCAATTAAACTCCTCTGGAGCTCTGGGCAGGCTGACCCTGACCCCCTGCCCTGGCAAGCTTCCGGGGATGGACAAGTAGGCGTCAGTCCCACTGGTGAAGCAGTCAATGAGGACGCTGTCGATATTTGAGGTGCCGAAGGAGGAGGCGAAATCGTTCAGCCCTGTCAGAGAGCTGTCCCAGCTGATCAGGCTCCCGTACCGCGGAGTCAGTGGGCTGAGGGGAGACATGGGACTGCTAAAGTTGGCGTACACGCGGACCGGGTTTTGGGACCCCGCAGAGCTGTCGGGGGGACACTCCTCGAACAGCAGCGGGGGAGAGGGCGGGAGCGTCAAACTGGGGCTCTTCATGATCTTCTTCTGCTTGCCGAAAGACGGCAAGGGCTGTTCGGGGATGCTGACCAAAGTCAAGATGGTGGCCAGCACCAGGGTGATTGACGTAAAGATGTAGATGACACGCAGCTGTCCCCCCACGGCCTTCCCGAAGGCGGTGCCGTTCCAGTTAATCCCTCCGACGACGTAGCCGAAGCCACCGCCGAGTCCTGCGAGGAAGGAAGCAAAGTCCGGGTCAGTTTTCTTTCTGGATCTTTAGAAAGAGGCAGATTCTTTTTTCCAGTAAAGGAAAAAGAGGCAGCTGCTTTGAAGAGTTCCCAACATATGGATGCAGCTCTTTAAAGCAAATGGATGCAGCTACTTTAAAGAGTCGTAAACAGTTGGATGCAACTATTTTAAAGAATTGCAAATAAATGGATGCAGCTACTTCGAAGAGTAATAAAACAAATGGAGGCAGCTACTTCGAAGAGTAATAAAACAAATGGAGGCAGCTACTTTAAAGAGCTGCAAACAGGTGCCTGATTCTTTTGCCTTAAATCAAAGCATGACACGACTGGCTCTGAATTCGAGAAACTGAGTCTCCCCAGTGGGTTTGGCTTTACGACTGTTGGGAAACATCTAGCAACGACTCAAGAGCCAGGCGTTGTGGGGAACTTACCGGCTAAAAGAGCATGGATGTTGAGCGCCCGGTCTTGATCCGCCGGGCGACAGACGTCAATCATGTAGGCATGGCTGGGGTTGTCAGCAGAGTCGGCACAGAAATCCATCAAGATGACCCCGCAGATGGTCAGCGCGATGCCCCATTTGTGATTGTTGCCTGTGTCGGAGACGGCAGTGCCGATATCCCGGCCGTTCAGCATCAGGGAGAGTCCCACCAGCGCCCCTGCAAAGCAGGCAGAAACGTCCACCGGAAGAACCGTACAATCACGCAGGCAATGGGCCATAACGCCCCCATTCCCACAACCACCCATTTCTGCAAAGCTTGTTATGTTGCACCAGGGGTTAATTCATGAGGGTTTGTTACGCAAGTGGTAACCAGAATCAGACTGAAAATGGATAGGCAGCTGATGTCACAACTCAGGTCAAATGATGCCCTGGTCGCTGTGACATCACTGTGACGTCATTGTGACCCCTCTAGGAAGGCTAGCGGTTGGCTTCTCTCTTCTTCTGACGTCGCTTCTCTCTTTCTCTACCTCCAAATCCTTCTACCTCTCTTTTCTTCCAGATGTCAGTTTACGCACGCTCCCTGGGTGGATTCACACAATCCAGAGAAGCAAATAACTCCAAGCAGGGCGCCCGTCGTGCAAAAGTGCACGGCATTCCCCTTCCCCCCCTTAAAACCCCTTCCCCAGAAGGACCCTTTGACCTGCCCAAGGCTTACATCTGCCATAAATACGGAAACATCTTTTCTTCCACAAAATAAGGATCAGAATCAGGCTACAATTGAGCGACACCTTCCCTGCATAACTGACGGGCAGGAGCACATCTCCAAACCGGCTAAAAGCAATAAGCCAATCGCATCTCCCCGCAAGCAGAAAGGTAGCATGTCGGTATTTTAACTCAGACTTTCTTAAATGGGATATAGCTTTCTTGAGTGCAGGGAGTTCCCCCCCCCTCCCCAATTACCGATTGCCAGGACGAGGATGAAAGGTCTTCTCCGACCCATCGGGGAGGTGCAACGGTCACTCCAAGCCCCCAATAAGGGCTGCAGCAAGAAACCTGGGATGACAAAGGAAATTGGGGTCAAGGGACTTGTCTGTCCGTGTTAGTAGACGTGTTTTTGATGGATCCTTGTTTAGGCTGTTATTTATACTCAGCAGATCCCACCTCCTTCTGGCACTGATGATGTTACCAAGTTGGGTAATAAAACGTCTGCAAGAACACAAGCTCAGAGAGCACCACAGTCATCGTCGTCCTCCTCCTTTTCCTCCTCCTCCTCCTCCTCCTCCTCCTCCTCCTCCTCCTCCTCCTCCTCCTCCATGCAAAGCAACTCCCTTCTAGCACTGATGACATTCTCTAACTGGGTCATGTAACGTCTGCAAGACAATGTATGCTCAGAGAGCACCAAGGACCCCACAGGTATCCTCCTCCTCCTCCTCCTCCTCCTCCTCCTCCTCCCTCTCCTCCTCCTTCTCCTCTCTGCAAACTCCACTCTCTTCCAGCACTGATGAGGTTGCCTACTTGGTTCATGAAACGTCTGCAAGAAAACCACCCTGCTCAGAGAGCACCCAGGACCCCACAATTCAACCCTAAGCTGCAAATATTCTCTTCTGTCAGATAGAATCTTGAAAGATCAGCCCAGTTCGCCACTTCTCACATCAAAGAGCATCAAGATGGCTTAATCTAGAGCCTCCTTCTCACCCTGCCTCTTTTCCCGGGGCGTAGTCGCTGGTTACTTTCTCCCTAACAGCTCTTCTTCCCAAGGCTCTCCTGACAAGAGCCGAGAGGTGGGATCTAACCGTCCTACGCGGGAAAAACCCCACGGCATTTTGGACTTTCCAGACCCCCCCCCCGTCCCCGATTTTAACTGCCTCACCCAGGATCGGACTGATAAACCACACCATCCCGTACAGCTGATCGGGAAGGCCCATCTGCAGCAGGGCCGGCGTGACGAAGGCCGTCTCCATGGCGTAGCTGAACTCGATCCCGAACAAGATGAACCCGTTGAAGAGCAGTTTCAAGAAAGATCTCTCCTGGTGGATCTCTACGAAGGGGGCCCAGTCCTTCGGGCAGGGGGTGTTGGGGGGAGGAGGCGGGGAGGGTCCGACCGGTTTCCTCCGCTTCGGGTGCCTTTTGAAGTTGTTGGCCCGATGGCTGATGTGCCGGGGGACGGAGCCGGAATAATTCACCACTTGAGTCCTCCAGAGATCCGGAGAAGAGACGGTAGGGAAGAGCAATTCGCCGGACGGACTCGTGAGGACCGTCGGACCGCTCATGTTGGACTTGCTGCAAGGAGCAGACATTGTGCGTTTACTTGTCGGGGACGACCTGGCTGGGCCCAAAAGAGGGAGAGGTAAAACGTGTCAGCAGTCTCGAATCCCTGCGCTCCCAATAAGGCATTTGAGACCAGCCTTCAAATTTGGGCCGGAAAGTTAAGCTCATCTCCCTGACATGCTAGATTTCTAATCGCGGGGAGAGCTACTTTCACAGAGCCATCTGCCATCTGCCAAAGATTTTGATTTGGGAAGCTGATCGATGGAGATCCAAGGAAAAAAGACTGCCCTAGCTAAAGGGACCGTTTAAATTTGGGCGGAGCATGCAGTGACAATAATGAAACATTTTCTGGCTTATTCTACCAAGCGCCTGAGAGAAGCAATCTGGAAATAAGGAGGAATTTCCTGGCAGTGAGGACAATTGACCAGTGGAACGGCTTACCACCAGAAATTGTCTAAAATGGGATAGGGTCTCCTGCCTGAGCAGGGGGTTGGACTGGAAGACCTCCAAGGTCCCTTCCAACTCTATTATTCTATGCTCGATGGCTTGCCACTGAGCGATGGGGAAAGCTTCCTTCTGCTCAGAAATCTAAAATCAAGAGGACTAGAAACTTGGGGAAAAAATCAGCACAGGGGAGCAAATGCAGGGCATCTCCCTCCTGGCCTTAACAAGCAGTTTTAATTGGTGGGGGGGGGAAGGGGATTGAGGGAAATCATGGCCCATTTAGGAAGGTGGGAGTCTGGATACGGGAAACCCCCCCCGTCTCTCCCTTTGTCTCCCCCCCACCAGCCAAGGGGATGGGGGAGATGCAGCTACCGGACGGACAGACGGACAGATGGATGGAGGCTTGGCTCCTGGATCCTCTGCAGGGCCTGGAGGCGAGGCGGTTGGGTACCAGATGTGGGGAGATCTCACCTGGATCACGAGGGATGAAGGAGCATCCTTGGGAGACGGGACCTGGATTCCTGCAGCTCCGCCTGGAAAGATCAGGGGTCCAGCTCCCCTGCTCACTTCATCCGCCCCCTCCCCATAAGGAAAGCTAGGGGTTCAGGCTGGGAGGTGATGTCACCAGCCTCCGCCCTCCTCTGCTCTCCCCCCCCCCAGTTCCGCAGACACCCGCCCACTTGCTCTCCCCCCCTCCTCTTCTTAAAGGGACAGGACGGCAGGAAAGCTCATCCTCTCTGCTTTTAGCTGATGGAAGTTGGGGGGGGGAGATCCAAATGTGATCTATGAAATAAATAAAAATATGGTTTTTTTGCCAGGCTAAAGGAAGACGTCCAGCTTTGGCTGGGAAAGGAGGCTGTGCAGCATTGTCACCCTGTGGAACTCACTGCCACAATAAAATAAAATAAAATAATAACAAAAAAATGAAATAAATAAAATAAAATAAAATAAAAAAACAAAATACAATAATAATAATAAAAAATAAAATAAAATAAAATAAACATAATAAAATAATGAAATGAAAAATATAAAATATAAAATAATAATAAAATAAAATAAAATAAAATAATAAAATAAAATAAAATAAAATAATAAAATAAAATAATAAATAAAATAAAAAATAAAATAAAATAAAAAATAAAATAAAATAAAAAATAATAATTAAAAATAAAATAAATAAAATAAAATAAAAATTATAATAAAATAATGAAATGAAAAAATATAAAATAAAAAAAAATAAAGTAAAATAAAATAAAATAAAATCTGGGAAATAATACCTGCATCCAGGACAGTCGGGTACAATGTGCAAATTTAGACCCACTGATCTTTTCATCCTTTGCAGTTTCCCCTCTTCCATTTTCCAACCAGTAAAATCTCCTTAGGAAACTAAGCAACAGATTTCCAATTCATTTTTATTTTTCTTTCAGTCCACTGACATTCCAGAAACCTAAGACAGATTTCTCCTTTTCAACCGATGCTTGCTTCTTCCATCCTTCACAGCAGACCAGGTCCAGTACAGAGACATGTTTTGCTTAGCAACAGAAATATTGGGCTCCATTGCAGTCATAAATTGAGGACTACCCCACCGGGTTCAACATAGGCAAATTGTTATGTTCCCCCCCCCCCAAGCTTAGAGTAGACAGAAAGACTGGAACAATTTTCTCTTTTAAAGCATCTCCCGTTGCCCTCCCCAAATGCCAGGATGCGAGAGACGGGATCTCCGAACGCCGATTCGTACATCAGACGCGGGAAGCGACGGCGTACATTTTGGAAGTTGATCTCTGCAAAGTTGGGGGGGCACCACGAGACTTCCTGCCCAGGTCAGCTCCTGTTTAACGACCAGGAAGCAAAAGTCAGATTGCAACGGGATGCAAAGGCAACATCTGGGTTGGCTAGAATAGAATAGAATAGAATAGAACAGAATAGAATAGAATAGAATACCTGTAGAATAGAATAGAATAGAATAGAATAGAATAGAATAGAATAGAATAGAATAGAATAGAATAGAATAGAATAGAATGTAGGGACAATGTCTATCTACCCATTTCACTGACCTGTATAGGAACAATGAAGACAGCACGACAGGATAAGGCAGGCCACCAAATTTCCCACCGAGCCAATCAATCCCAGCCAGCAAGACCACCCAAAGTCCTGGTGGGCATCCAGAAAGACGTTGTGAGGCACGTGGGCAACCCTCTCCAGGTAGGCGTTGACGGCGTAGCAGAGGGAGCCCACCAGCCCCAGCGCACCTGGGCAGGTACGTCAAGAAAAACGACCATTGTTATTAGTCTCGCTTAGCAACAGAAAGCTTGGGCTCCGTCGTGGCGGTAAAACAAGGGCCAGCTGTATAACAAGCACGATGTATGCTTACCTCCGGTCCCGAGTGCCAATCCAGCCACCGAGTGCATCTTCTGTTTTATCTGTGGCTCATCCTGGAAGATTTTGATGCAATCCAGACCTCCCGCCAAGAGCACCAGGGCGCAGCCCGAAAGCATGTCAGCAGTGATCAACAAAGCTCTCGTCACCACAATTTTCACTGCCGGGGAGCAAAACGGTCAAGTTAACAGAAATAACAGGGCTGGAAGGGACCTTGGAGGTCATCCAATCCAACCCCCTTCTCAAGCAGGAGGCTCTAGATCACTTCAATCAATTAATCCAGGGAGAAAATGTTTGGCTGAATTGCTGGAAAAATAGTTGTTGTTGTTGTGGTTGTGTCGACCGCATTGTTCTGAACGGACCGAAGAATGTTGTGTGTTGCGTTAAGCCACTTACTGGGGTGTTCTGCTAAAATGGAATCGAACTGATCGCAGGTCTTAATGCCGTCCTGCAGGTTCGTGACGCACTTCCGCCAGAGTCCTTGGCATTTGTGGCTGACCTAAGAAAAGAAAGGCGATTGGCTTAAGCTACAGGTAGTCCTCGAATTACGTCCGTCGGAAGATACGACGGGCTTCCCGAAAGTTACATCGTGATTCAGGTTCGCCGACATCCAGACCCTTCCAGTCCCTGGTCACATCATTGCCTTTTGCGATGCTTGGCAAGGCCGCCGGCAGCATCCTACGGTCATGTGATCCCGATTGATGATGATTTGGGTAGAAACCAATCACCAGGAGACGGGGAGTTGTAGTCGCAACTTAGCCGTGAAAGCCGGCTGGGTGACATTGGGCCAATCACCAGGCGACTGGGAGTTCTAGTCCCACCTTAGCCATGAAAGTCAACGGGGTGACTTTGGGCCAATCACCAGGAGACTGGGAGTTCTAGTCCCGCCTGAGCCATGAAAGCCGGCTGGGTGACATTGGGTCAGTCACCACGAGACTGGGAGTTCTAGTCCCACCAGCCTCTCAGCCTTCCCTACTTCCCATTTAATCCAGGGGAAAAAAAACCACGCTTCTATGGGACTTTTTCAGAGGAAGAAGGAAGAGAAGATAGAGAAGGGAAAAACAGATTTCAGGTACGCACACACACACAAACACACACTCAAAGACACACAGACACACAAACACACGCCGTTGGCGTTTTCCTGACACTGACCTCCAGGCTATCATCGGCGTTCACGATCCAGCAGTCGGACCAGGTCGCTGCCCCCAGGAACACGGTGGAAAGCAGAGCCACAAAAAAGCACGCCAGCTGCAAAGCGGCCGCCATTTTGGCAGAACTGGAGGAAAGCAAAATAAAGCTTTTAACAGAAGAAGAGGGATGGAAGGGACCTTGGAGGTCTTCTAGTCCAACCCCCTGCCCATAGCGATATTAATAGAAGAGCATTCCCAACGTTGTTGGAGGATCAATTTTAAAAAGCGGGAGGTCATTTAGTGTAACCCACTCTCCACCAAGGAGTATAATTATTTATTTTGAGCATTGGGTAAGCCTGTCCATTGTGTTTAAGTCATTATCGTGATACAGTCAGCAGGTTCAAAGCTCTTTCTCTTACTCTTTCTTTCTTTCTTTCTTTCTTTCTTTCTTTCTTTCTTTCTTTCTTTCTTTCTTCTTTCTTTCTTTCTTTCTTTATTTTTCTTTCCTGCCATTTTATTTTTTTTATTTTTTTGCTGGCATGTT